CTTTTAACGTCTTTAGTGTAGGGCTGCACAATATATTATATAACAAAGATATGCAATGTTGAGTCTGAATTATGGTTTGATAAACAACAACTATAGGAGCTTCAGAATTGTATTTAAAGAGCCCATATTATGGGTTTTTGAAAATGCCCTTCCATGTAGTGTGTAACACAGCTCTAAGTGAAGTGAAGTATCCAGCTAAGGCTTAAATCTGTAAGTGTACAGTGTTTAAAACTGTTGATTCATCTATAAAAGAGTCGACTCATAGTGCTTCAAACGAGTCGCCTTGATAACGAATCATTAGGTGTTTCGCCATGACGTACTAACGAAACCAAGGTTTTCACGTGCACGCGCAAACCCGGGAGATTTGAAACCTGCGGCCCCGCCCTCTGACACAGAAACCCAGACACACACACACACAAACACACACACACACAAACATGCCGGTCGATTGAAGTCACACTGCAGATGGATATTATTGAGTCTGTACCCAAAGATGAAACCTCAGCATTATAACCAAGCAGTTGGAAACTACTGGAAACTACATGCTACGAAGAATTCTTCATCGGCGTTTGTTAAACAAAGGATCAGTAAGGAGTAACTTAATGATGGACATGTCAGGACATGGATTGGTTTCTTCCTCCATTTCTCAAGTGTAAGTACGTGCGATTAAAGTTGTTGCCTCGTTTACTCTAGCTTGCAAATGTATTTAGTTGTGATTTGTTACTTGTAACCGCGTGTACTGTATCAGATTGACTCGCTATATTCTCATATCACGTGCAAAGCCGCGTTAAAAACGTGAAGCGTGCTGCTTTGTTTACGTTTGGTGGAGGAGGGTAATGTGTGTGTGTGTGTGTGTGTGTGTGTGTGTGTGTGTGTGTGCGCGTGCTGTCGTCCTGAGGTGTGTGTGTGTGTGTGTTTGTGTGTGTGCGCACGCGTTGTCATCCAGAGGGGGTTAAGCACCTTCCTGAATTGTTTTTATTTTATTTCTTTTAAAATTATTTTCAGCTTAGGGTGAACTATCACTTGAAGTACCATTTCATATTTATTTTTATCAATGTTTGATACATTTATAAAATGTAAATTTAAAAAAAAAATGCACATCAGTTGAGTCACATTTTATTAGTTCAATGTGCATTGCTGAGTAAAAGTTTTTTATTTCTATTAAAATAATTTTCAGATTTGGATGAACTGTGACTGTAAGGAACAATTTTGGTACATTTATAAACATTATCATTTTCAAATGTAAAAAAAATACACATTTAGTCATGTTAAGTTCAATGTGCCTTGCTGATTAAAATTTTTTATTTCCTATTTAAATTTGTTTAACTTATAAAACTAGTATATAGTTTAACACAAACCTAAGCTTTCCATTTCCCTGTGATTTCTCTTGTAAATCTTCATCTTCCTCAAAGAAAGGGTCATCCAGTTGAGCAGGTCTGCTAGACCTTGCTTCAGAACTTTTCAGATGTTTTTCATGGGCCATGATCTCAAACAACTCTCTGTAGTTCTCACAGCAGAAGTCCTGAAAATTTAAGGAGACACTGAAATATTAAGTTAATTTCTAAAAGTTTGTATCACCAACAAAATAAAGAGACAAACCTCTTGCGACTCTACAAAAACCAAATCTAAAGGAGGCCATGCTCTTGAACCACAGAACTGACAGCATACCGGAGTGTCTTGTTGTAATTGGAGCTGAGTGAAACACATAAAATTCACTTTTAAAAAATAATAATACAAGAATGTACACTTTTACCAGACATGAAATGAACAGGCTACCTGAGAACTGTGCATCCTCTCCTGGGACTCTCTATTGTATCTTAGACATCCTGGAAGCCCAGGACAGAGATCTGGTGAGAGTCCACTGTCTGGAAATACTCCTGCTCCATCTGCTGGACAGTGTAAAATAATGTGTGTTGGTTAAACGTATAAATCGACAGCTGTTTTAGTTTAATATGTACCTGTGCTTAACTCCTGATCTCTATGCGGAAAGTATTAAAAAGCACAAGTCTAGAATACAATTATAAATATTTCAAAAAAACTCAATAAATCATTATAACTCAGGGAAAAATGCTCAAATCAATTCATTCAAATAAGTAATAATGATCATTGCTACAGTATGTTTTGTGTGCATACAGTACACGTCACAGTATTATATTCAAATGTCATAATATCAGAACATTTAGAAAATGAAATTCCTAAATTTAAATTCCTCATTAGGTATGGAACGATAACCGGTTTCAAGCTTTACCACAGTTTAGAAAAGTCAAGGCTTTAAAGCAGAGATGCACAAACTAGGGCCCGCAGGCTAAAGTTGGCCCTTTGTATTCTTTTATTTGGCCCACCAGAGGGAAAATGATTGGACAGGGTTGGGTAATGCCTTGTTTGTTTTATTGTTGAGCTACAGAAAAAGCTAACTAAAAATTAAATGCTTCAATTAAATGTTAAATTAAATGAACCAAATTTAAAAAAAAAATACTTACAGTGACTTAACAAAGAGGTGACAAAGCAGAAGATATCAGCGTGCAAATCAAGGCAAAGGCATGTTCAGCATGACTAGTGTATTCAGCATTAAACTCCATTGTTTTATAAATGGATTTTGTAAATGCTTTTATTGTAATAAGTTTGTTAAAATAATATACGTTTTCAAAAAATGTACATTAGTAAAAACAGTTGAAGTATTTTTTCTATTTATTTAGAAATAATAGGAAATAATTTAGGAGTCACAGTGGCACAGTGTGTAGCACGATTGCCTCAAAGCAACAAGGTCGCTGGTTCGAGCCAAGGCTGGGTCAGTTGGCATTTCTATGTGGAGTTTGCATGTTGTCCCTGTGTTGGTGTGGGTTTCCTCAGGTGCTCTAATTTTCCCCACAGTCCATTGACATGCGCTCTAGGTGAATTGGGTAAGCTAAATTGGCCGTAGTGTATGCATGTGAATGCAAGAGTGTGTTGGTTCATCCCATTTATGGTTTGCAGCTGGAAGGGCATCCTGCTGCATAAAACATATGCTGGATAAGTTGATGGTTCATTCCTTTGTGGTGACCCCTGAATAATAAAGGGACTAAGCCAAAAAGAAAATGAATGAATCAATTACTATAAGGTTATTGGTCAAGTGAAAGCAAAATGTTTATTTGTTTGCTTAAACTGAATGCTTTAGTTTTAACAACATTTGAAGTTGCAATTTACCCATGAATTACCGAAGTTCAATAATAAACCACACACATTTACAGCATGCAAACGGAATAGTCTGGGCTTGTTTTCTTATTCCATAAAGGCCAGGGAAACATTTTATTATTATTATTATTATTTATTTATTTATTTATTTAATTTTTTCCTTTTTGTAAAGTGA